GTATGCCATGCATGCTTGAAGTACTAAATGGTACCACGGTGCTCATCCACTTTATTACTTGTATTGTATGAATGGTTTATCGCTAAATATGTGAGGGAATATCTAACTTACTGATATGTGAAAGAGTTGAGATGGAAGCTATTGGACTTATCTCAATCTTCTTCAACACCTGTTTGGAGGTGAGAAGAAATTTTCATGGTTATCCTTTTTTAGTTGTCGAAGACCCATTGGGGATGCGAATGGAAGCTGACAAGTGTCACCATTGACTTCCTGTACAGACCACCTTGTACTCTTGGAGACTATGATGACGTTTTGGTATTTGTGGTCAACTCACTCGTAGTATTATTTACCAGTCCGCGAGGATAATACTTTTGACTACTTGGTAGAATTCTTCATCCTAGACTTTGTTTGACTGATGTCTCGATTAACATCGGTTTCGATCAAAATTTCTGTTTCACCTTCGGGTACTAGAATGTGTTATAGTCAACTTTGGATTCGTGTTTACCCTTAAACACTTCGTATCATTTCCAAACTAGAGAGACTATTCAGGAGAACCACTCATATCCAAAAGTTTTAGCCGAAAACATCAGTCATTCAATCACCCATTAAAACTCTATTGAGCGAATCATTACCACTGGTGTTTGAATATCCCTAAGATTTCGTTGTAACAAGTTGTTGTGAATTTTGGAATGGGGAAAAAGTTCGAGTTCCTGTCTATCAGATTACTTTTGACTACCACTTGAGTCAAGTCCCCGCTCAACCATCTTGACTTGCCACCACAAAATCAAGTTAGCTACTCGCACATGTTCTTGCATCAAAGTTACACATTTATTCCAGTTATCTTATACTTTAGATTTGTTGGACTTGTTTTGACCCTTAAATTCATGAGTGTTCAATTAGCCTTCTCGGCATAGCCGTTCGCTAAATCCGAGAGAAATTTTCAATGAATCAACTTGAGTAGGCGTTGTGGATCATATTGTTCTGGTTTTCGGTGTATCGTCACTTTTGTACCCTATCGTGATGCATGTTTCACTTCTAAGTTTTGTGAAGTTTTTGTGAAGGCCTTGAGTACTAAGTTGTTTGTCCTGTATCATATTTTTATTTGCAGACTGTTGGATAGTCTAAATGAACTATATAGATCTTGAAAGACGTGTTGCGTTCTTTTGATTTGTGGTTTCTGAATGATTAGATTTTGCACTGATCTCTTTTAGAGTAGTTACGGCAATAGTTCTTTTATTTCCAGTTTAAGTATGGCACTATTTAAGACTTGGTTTGATTGATTCTTTTGGCAGCACTAGTTGGACAGTGGAGTTTTGCGAATTAGCTTTTGGATGTTTGATTTCTTTTCGTTATGAGAAACTGTGTGCTTCTGTTATTGTCGACTTGGTGTTGAGCAAATGGTAATGTTTACACCCTTAGGAAATTACTACTTGGTTATCGAGACAACAATGTGTTGTCGATATCGTGGGCGACCAACTGTGATATCAATGGCTTATTCGTTGGGTTCGTTAAGCAAGTGGGCATGTAGACCCGTATACGATAGTTGTTACAAACAAGTGGGCAAGTATAGTAAATTATTTAAAATTTCAGGATGAAATTTTCTTAACGGGGGTAGATTGTAACGACCCTTCCCGGAATTTATGGCAATGAAGGGCAATTTTGTAATTTCACTTTATGTGGGATATTTTTATTTTAAATGGTTTGCTTTTTGGGTTTTAATAAGTGTGCCATGGGGAGAGCCACTTCCTTTTTGGTCCACCGGCCCTCTGTCATTCTCCCACTTGGACCCGTGTCCTTTCTCCCTCTTCACAACTCTCTAACCACACACTTTCTCTCCCTCTCTGCACCCTCTCATCCCCCGAGCACTTTACACAAGCAACAATGACAGCGATGACATCACCATCTTAAAAATTTCCCATGTCACGATCTTGAACTAAGCTAAGATCCTAGCACTCCCCAGTGACAGAAGCCATTGTCCTTCTCCCTCCCCCGACATGGGTAAGCCTCGAAAACACTCTAAACATTATTCCTTTTGTCCTCATAGTTCGTTCTTTGACTGTGTTTGTGTGTTGTGGACGTAAAGGCATCGCAGAATCAACTCAGGAAGGCTTTCCCAGTTCCCGACGAGGAACCCGAAGCTTGCAGACCATTTCCCGACCAACTCCGGCCACCACACGTCTTGAAATTGGTACGAACCTCTTCATTTCTCTCTAAGCTTCATTTCTATAGCTTGTACATAAAAAATGGGGAAGAAATGAGCTCAAACGGAGCTAGGGAAGGGTTGCCTAGATTACAGCCGAACCCATGGCCTAAAATCGGGTCGACCCGACCCGATTACCCTGAAACCCAGATCCAAGATCCAATCTTGCAACTGGCCCAACCCAAACCCTTTGGGCTAAGCAACTAAGCTCAAGCCTATAATTGTGACCCACTAACCCAGCCCAAAAAACCAAGCCCAACCAACTAACCCAAGCCTAAACCCAAACCCAAAAACTGGTCCAACCCAAAACCCTAGCCAGCGTGTGGGCCTACGAGTGAGTGCCTGTCTTGGCCGGCGCGTGGAGCACACGTGCCTCCACCGACCAACTTTTCTGGCCAACTTTTCGGGGACCCAAATCGGCGCGTGAGGCGTCTCGTGGCCGTCCGGATCTTCGATCCGTGGCGGTGTGTAAGGCGGCGTGTACGGTGGCGCTTAGTGGAACCCGAGGTCTCCCTTTATGTTTTTCGACGTCCTCAATCCGTTTATGACGTCAGTTTCCAGAAATTCAATCATTTTAGTATAGTTTTATCAATCGGTACCTTTATGTGCTTAGGTGCAATTGTTTATGTCATTTGTGTCCTCTCTATTTTTCACGGCTCTTCGACGACGAAGTATCTGTTGGTGGACCCTTTCCAAATTGCATATTTTACTATTAGAAATGCATACATGAAAAACATGATTTGTTGGTTACGTTTTATGAAAGATTTATGAGTAAATTAGATTTACACTTTATGATATATTATGCTTTATCATATTTACGTTCTTTGAACTATATATGATTTATGATTATATACTTTGAACATGATTACTCCCACATCGGCATCTTCGATTCCTCTAAGTGTAGGACCCATCCTTTTATTCATTCAATTTTATATTATTCCTTTTTAGTGTCTCAAATTAGTGGTATGCTCTAAACATGTTCCACAATTACATATTCATTATAATTAAATTTACAAGTTTTATTTATCTTGGTTATTTGTTTTTAGTTCTCATGCATCCTAATATGGCTTTGTCACATTCGGGAGTTGGCCAACATGTGCCTACCATGGTGTTTGGAGAATATCAGTGGCGTGTCAGCAATAGGAGCAAAATGCAGTATCGCCAGTTGCATTGCTCACCATTTTTCCGGAAAAAAACTAGATGGATAACAAGAAACAAGTTCTGGGGAAGAAGAAGAGAGTCACACTGAACAGGAGAGATGGATTTTTGCCAAAACAAAACTCTGGGTTCGAATTAGAAATGGGTAGAAAGGAAGGGGAAATCGAAAGATGAGAAAGAGGTTTTTTTTTTAGTCCTCCTCAGTCCTGTGTGTTTAGAGAGAGGTTTTGCAGTCCAATAAGGACTGGGTAGAAAGGAAGGGGAAATCAAAGGGTCGAATATGTTTGAACTTTTAATCAAAGGGTCTCAATAGGAAATTGGACCTAATCGGGATTTTTGGGTTTCACTTTTAATTGATTTCAAGTTATAACCAACTGTGAGAGAGATTGGAGATAATGAGGTGATGCAAACAAAGGAGGCAAAGAAGTTGAAGGAGACAAAGAACTAAATCGTTGCAATCTACACATAAAAATTACCAAATTCGTACGACCCAAAACACATCTCCTGCATATGGACGGGAAGCTGATGTAACAAACTAACCGGTCAACCACAGCGGTCTCTTCGAACAGGGGGAGAGGGAAAAGGAGGCCCTTATAAATGTAGGCGAGCACGAGGAAGTCAGAGAGGGGGAGGTCGGCGAGCAGAGATCGGCGAGGGCGGATGTTAGGGATGATGATGGAATTGATGAATTGAAGGGGGTGGGGCTCACTCATTTTGGATTTATTTAAATAATTGAATCTTTATTTGTTTTATGTGTTTTATATTCACAAATTTGACTGACACGTCATCAACTAACAATGTGCTTAATAGAATTTTTAACAGAAGTATGCAATTGTAACAAATGTCAAGTAAATGTATGAAGTTGAAACATTTTAAGGATGTATGAGGTTGCAATTAGCCTCATACCTAAGGATGTAAAATATAATTTACCCTAATTATTATTATAACGTCGTAATAATGTTGGTCAACTTAAAACGATCGGATCTTATACTAAAATTAACTTTATTTACAAGCAACATAGGCAAGGAAAGCATTGATGCTCCAAGTCTCATAGCTAGGAAATTTTGTATCAACTCTGGAGAAATGGCGTAGAGCTTCTCAAGAAAGTTGAATCAAAATCCAAGTAAATACCCAACAAATTTTGGGCATTCCTTGACACATTCAAATACATCCAAACACTCCCTTGAGTTGAGCCTTTGCAATGTCAACAACAACCGGGCTGCCATGTGTTTGAAACCTTTACTTGCACAAACGATGACTCAGCAGGTGTTGTTTGGACGAAATTACCCCTATGCTCAGTATCCAGATTAGGACATTAGTTTATTAAAGTCCAAATTACATGGGCATTTATGTCGTTTAAATACATAACCAGATTTAATCTATTTTTTTGTAACATAAAAAAATTAAAATTAAAATTAATCATCACCAGATGGCCCAGTGATTGGGAACAAATTTCAAACTCTTATTTCACACAACACATTTTTGAGTTGTTTCTTGTTGCTGGTTAATCACACGATGGTAATCAAGAGATGTTAAAATACTTATGTCAGTCTTCTTTTACTAAGAAAAAAATAAGTAAAAACAAAAAAAAATTAAATATTAAAAACCGCAAACCCTGGGAAGTGAGAATGTTACGCAAGCAACATTTTTCAATTTAGTATTTTCCAAACAACGAAAAACTCTCTCTGCTTCTTCTCAAGTCTCAGGCAATTTCTGTGCAAAGACTTTCTCTCTCCTCAACTCTCTCTCTTAAAACTTCCCCTGCTCAGTAATTCCAGAGCTCTGCAGAGAGACTTGGGCTTTTGGGTTTTGTCCTTTCAAAGTTTCAGACTTTGAAGAATTGCTGCTGCCATTCCCTGGTGAGATATTTCAATCATTTTTCTGATCAAAATTTTAGTATTAATTCTCAAAGTTTTGCATTCCCTGCTTCTTTCTCATGGTCCTTATACTAAAAAATGTGCAAGTTTGTATTGTTCTGATGGATTATACTATTGGGAACTTGGTTACTTTTATTTTTTGATATATTTTTGTTGGGTTTGTTGTTTTTCGGAAAATTATTCAAAATCTATGTATATAGGGTGTTAAATGAGTATATGATTAATGGGTTGAATCTCGCTTTCAAAAGGATTGTTACAAGTTTTGTGTCAATTTGGCTGTGATGGTAAGATTACTTCATGGAACAGAGTAATTGTTGTGGCATGCGAATGTCAAATTTTTCTTAATTTGATTTCGGAAGGAAATGCGCTTAACTGTAGTGCTGTATAGGTTGGAAAGCTGAAACAGGAGTGGTGTACTATATTAGAGTGGAAAAATATGCATAGCTGACAGTGTAAGCCATATGAACAATAATTTCGGCCATACTTAATCGAGTGTAATTGGTTATTGACCATGGTTGGGTGATTCAAACAAATACATGAATTGTATGCAGCAGAGAGCATTTAAATGAGCAGTATAATATATCCGAATATGGACTGTACTTACGAAGATTGATGGAAAGATATAGAGATGGGAAAAAGGATTTACACATGGTCTTTATAGATTTGGAAAAAGCGTATGATAGGGTCCCAAGAGACATTCTTTGGAGGATTTTAGAGAAGAAAGGAGTACGAGTAGCATATATCCAAGCTATACAGGATATGTATGAAGGAGCAAAGACTGCCGTAAGAACTCATGAAGGACAAACCGAAAGCTTTCCCATAACTGTAGGATTACATCAAGGCTCATCCTTAAGTCCTTACCTTTTTGCGTTGGTAATGGATGAGTTAACAGGACATATTCAAGGTGATATTCCTTGGTGTATGCTTTTCGCAGACGATATAGTGTTGATAGATGAAACTCAGGAAGGGGTAAATGCAAAGCTTAACCTTTGGAGAGAAGTGTTGGAATCTAAAGGTCTTCGCCTAAGCCGATCAAAGACAGAATATATGGAGTGCAAGTTCAGTGCAAATGGAGGCCAAAACGAGTTAGGGGTGAGGATCGGAGATCAAGAAATACCAAAGAGCGACCGTTTTCGTTACCTAGGATCTATCTTGCAAAAGAACGGAGAATTAGATGGAGATCTCAACCATAGAATACAAGCTGGATGGATGAAGTGGAAGAGTGCATCCGGCGTATTGTGTGACCGCCGTATGCCACTGAAGCTCAAGGGAAAATTTTATAGGACGGCAATAAGGCCGGCGATGCTGTATGGCACAGAATGTTGGGCGGTGAAGCATCAACACGTACACAAAATGGGTGTAGCGGAGATGAGGATGCTTCGTTGGATGTGTGGGCACACGAGAAAGGATAAGATTAGGAATGAGGATATCCGGGGTAAAGTAGGAGTAGCCGAAATTGAAGGAAAGATGAGAGAAAATCGGTTACGGTGGTTTGGACATGTGCAAGGAAGGCCTACTGACGCTCCGATTAGAAGATGCGACTATGGGACAGAGGTTCAGGGCCGAAGGGGCAGAGGAAGACCTAGGAAAACTTTGGAAGAGACCCTAAGAAAAGACTTAGAGTACTTGGATCTAACGGAGGACATGACACAGGACAGAACACAATGGCGTTCTAAGATTCATATAGCCGATCCCACTCAGTGACTTGGATTTTCCAAGTCTCCAACCGAGAAGTTTTCCTCACTCGGGAAATTAAGGGAACACTACCTCAACCTATATGCTCCACTCACAAAGCTTCAACATACAAGCTTCAACAAAAGAAAATTCAAAGAACTTAGCGAAGAAGGCTTTGGTGTATTTAACACAATACGTTGAAATGAAAGCTTATTTATTGATATCCCCGATAAGTTACAAATATGTACATATACTTGAGTCAAAATAAACAAACAAGAGGGAGCCTTCACAAAGGTTGCTTAGGAGAAGTCTCAGCAGTCGGTAGAGCCCCAGAAAGAGAAGGCACCGGAGGGGGATCATTCGGAGCCTCAGTATTGGACAAAACCCTAGAAGGAGGAGGCATCAGAGATTGATCATTTGGAGCTTCATTACGCGGTACAGCCCCAGAAGACGAAGGCAATAAATGCCTTTGGAACAAACCCACAAATCTCTGATGATCAAGTAAAAGCCTGACCATCAGATTCCTTCATCTGGTCAAGCTTCCTCTTCATGTTTGTAGCATAGTCATGTGCGAGCCGGTGCAACTGTTTATTCTCATGCTTGAGCCCTCTAATCTCCTGTTTGAGACTCATCACTTCAGCCGCCAATGATTCAACTTGGCGGGTTCGAGCAAATAGGCGTTGGGCCATATTAGACACAGAACCTGCACACTGAACACTGAGAGCCAGAGAATCCTTAACAGACAACTCATCAGACCGTTTGGAAAGTAGTCTGTTATCTTTGGGAGTGAGAAGGTTCCTGGCCACTACCGCAGCGGTCATATCATTCTTCATCACGGAATCCCCAACGGTAAGAGGACCAGTAGGGGAGACGAAGGATGGGCGCCATATGTTGTCTGGAGAAGGCGGGGCTGCCTCTTCAACAAGGTTCAAGTCAAAACGACGGTCGGAGGGGCCAGACATTTTCAAAGGTGTTGAAGAGATAAAGAGGTCGGACAAATCAAGATCTTAGAAGTGCAAGAATGGAGCTTCTACTGGTGGATATTCAAGTGTGCTTTGGAACTTAATGTCAGCCCCTATAAAAAATCTGCACTCGATGAAGCTTCAGAAATCGAAGAGGCGCCTGCTCAGAAATCGAAGAGGCGTTTGCTTTCTCAAAAGCTGGGCTGCTCAGAGATTCTCAAAAGCTGGGCTGCTCAAAGACCACAAAGGCCGATCTCAGAAATCGAAGAGGCTTGCTTTCTCAAAAGCTGGGCTGCTCAGAGACCACGAGGGCCGATTTTCAGAAATCGAAGAGGCACCTACTTTTCCAGCCTTGTCAGCACCTGTCACACGCACACTCAGCTTTGCGGAAATTATGGGCATTCTGTCGAAGATTTCTGGCGAAGTAGAAAGCACATGAATCGTACTGTTCAATCACCCACTTCCCACACGCAACAGTAGCTCATGGGTACCACAGATAACTTTGCCAAAGTTCTCTGACAAAGTTGAGACACGTGAAGCTTGCAGCTCCCACTACACCGCTCTGACCAAGAAGGGTAAAAGAATTGCAAAGAAACAACACTAACAAAGTTTAGACACATAAATTTTGAAGGTCTAGCTACCATATTATTACCCACAAGGGTAAAGGAACAGTACCACTGCTGGATAATTGGAAAGTCCCGGTGTGTCAACCTCTGTGCTTCGTGGCAAGGTAGACTAGCAAACATGCCCAACCTTTACTCACATTCGAGAAAACACTCCTAACAAGATTGCTTGCTCCAAAATCGAAGAGGCACCGCCCTCCGAATCTCGAGAGCCAGACTCCCAACATGATTACTTTCTCAAAAATCGAAGATAGGGTAAAGGAACAGTACCACTGCTGGATAATTGGAAAGTCCCTGTGTGTCAACCTCTGTGCTTCGTGGCAAGGTAGACTAGCAAACATGCCCAACCTTTACTCTCATTCGAGAAAAAACACTCCCAACAAGATTGCTTGCTCCAAAATCGAAGAGGCACCGTCCTCCGAATCTCGAGAGACAGACTCCCAACATGATTACTTTCTCAAAAATCGAAGAGACACCACTCTCCGAATCTCGAGAGCCAGACCCCCAGCAGGATTGCTTTCTCAAAAATCGAAGAGGCATCGTTTTCCGAATCTCGAGAGCCAGACCCCCGACAGGTCTGTAATCTTCACACGCAACATCAGCTTTCCAGATACCACAAACCACTTTTTCAAAGTGCTCTGACAGAGTTAAAACATGTGAAGCTGGCAGCTCCCACTACCGTGCTATAACCAAGCAGGGTAAAGGAATAGCATTATTACTTGATGTTAGGGAGACTCCTATATATGTCGACTTCCATCCCTAACGGACAGGCAGACCCGCAAAAATGCTCAACCCTTTCTCTTATCTGAGAGGGCACTCCCAACAAAGCCTTTCGAAATATTCAGCTTTTTTTCCCCCCGATAATACCTCTGTAAACAAGCTATACTAGAGCAAGAATATCTCATATCATCAGGGTTAAAAGCAAGAGTATCCCATATCATGCTTTTTCCCTGTCTTTCCCTTTGGCCTTGTTCTTACCTGCAAGACAAGGAGAAAGAGAGCAATCAGTCAGCACTTGGAATCAAGCTTCCAGCCAGGAACTGACTGCCTGGAACCCCTTACCTGATTACTTACCTGGCATTGCTCTCGAGTACTCATCTTCAACATCTTATGCTTCCAGGGAAGATACCGCATCTGCCTGAGGAACAGATAAGGCAAGTGAGAAGGATACAAGGAAGCATGTGGAGACAAGTGTAACAGCACACGTGCCGATACATCCACTACTCTATCAAAAGCAAAAGTATCCCATATCAGCAGGGTCGAACGTACTCTAGATTTGATGGACTTGTTTTGACCCTCAAATTCTTCAGTCGGCCTTATACTCTGGAGGAAACTAGAAAACCCTCCAGCCCAGTTCAAGAATAAGCCTGTGGAAAGTTACTTCTTCAAAAGCAAAAGTATCCCATATCATCTCTCCTCATTTTTCTTCTCTTTATCCTTCATGCTGCCTGCAAGATAGGGAGAATGTGAACAATCAGCCGGAGCTCTGATTGCTTACCTTGTCTGTCACCTCTTTTAGCAGATCCCCGCTCGGCGACTTGGGGGACTCCTACTACATGGTTTGTGTCTCGCTTGACCAAGCATGAAACTACAAGTAAGCTTCAAGTGAAATTGATACATTACCTTGTGCATCTCCACCAGTTACAGATACTACCCTGGATGGAGGAAGAGTACTTCCAGAGAAGATGTCACATCTACCTATGAGACAGATAAGGCAAGTCAAGACGATACCACACTCCGGTACTTAGAAGTTTCGTGGCTACGAGATCATTCTCCCACAATTTTTCCTAATGTCATTTGTATTAAATCATTCACTTGTACTCACTAAAGGAGAGCTTGAACCTATGTACTTGTGTAAACCCTTCACAATTAATGAGAACTCCTCTATTCCGTGGACGTAGCCAATCTGGGTGAACCACGTACATCTTGTGTTTGCTTTTCTATCTCTATCAATTTATATACTTATCCACACTAATGACCGGAGCAATCTAGCGAAGATCACAAAAAGTGACCGTTTTCGCTACCTAGGATCTATCTTGCAAGAGAACGGAGAATTAGATGGAGATCTCAACCATAGAATACAAGCTGGATGGATGAAGTGTAAGAGTGCATCCGGCGTGTTGTGTGACCGTCGTAGGCCACTGAAGCTCAAGGGAAAATTTTATAGGACGGCAATAAGGCCAGCGATGTTGTATGGCACAGAATGTTGGGCGGTGAAGCATCAACGTACACAAAATGGGTGTAGCGGAGATGAGGATGCTTCGTGGGATGTATGGGCACACGAGAAAGGATAAGATTGGGAATTAGGATATCCGAGGTAAAGTAGGAGTAGCCAAAATTGAAGAAAATATGAGAGAAAATCGGTCCCGGTGGTTTGGACATGTGCAAAGAAGGCCTACTGACGCTCCGGTTCGAAAATGTGACTACGGGACAGAGGTTCGGGGCCGAAGGAGTAGAGGAAGACCTAGGAAAACTTTGGAAGAGACCCCAAGAAAAGACTTGAGTACTTGAATCTAACGGAGGACATGACACAAATGAGCGCAATGGCGTTCTAGGATTCATATAGCCGACCCCACTTAGTGGGAAAAGGCTTTGTTGTTGTTGTTGTTGTTGTTGTTGTTGTTATTCCCGTAAGACAGCGTGAGTAGAACATTCATGCTACTTGAGATGCTAATTAAATTTGCTGGTACTCGGTCGATGTATACTTTAGTACTTTGACTCAGATACTCTGTGGTCAAGAAATTGGTAGCTTAATATAGGCTCGAAACACAATTGAATTTTGTTAGGTGGTCAAATTTTTTAAGGAACCAAAATATAACACAGTTTCTCAAGTAGTTTAATAGACCTAGACTAATGTTCTGGTCAAAACATTTGGCAATTAAGTGTTATATTGGGTGGAAGTTCATTCATTGGCTGGGAATCTTACAATTCGAAAAGGCCCAAATGTAAAAGGATTTACCTATATTTCAATACCCTTGGTGCTTGTTTTCCATTCTGATAGATTGGTTACTGTTTGCGTATTAGGTATGTGAATAGTTTTTCATAAGATACCTGGACACCTATTTCTGCATTTGTTGTAGGTTTTCTCTATGGGGTCTGTTCTGTAAGTTAGCAATGCAGAACTAGTTTATTCTTTGTAGAATGGATTTCAAAACACATTTTGCATTACAATCTCTATGAACATGTGTACAGAAGTGACATGGTGTGGATAATTCATACAAACTATGTTCTAATCAAGGTTCTAAAAGACACTAGGCGCTAGTCAGACGATGGGCTAGGGCATGGCGCCAAGGCGGGGCCTAGGCGGATTTAAGTAAATTAGTTATATATCGTATAAATAAATGCCTGGTAATTGCATTGGGATACATAAATTGCAAAATAGAATGACATAGATTATAAAGTATTAGAACATAACACAAAATGAAAGTTATCTATTTTTTGTCTAAGTGAGATTCGCAATCTAGGCAGGTGCCAAAGCGGATTTGGACGGGCTAGGCGGGTGCCTAAGCAGGTCTAGGCGCCCTTTCTTAATTTTCAAACGCCTACGAATTAATCAGGGCGGTAGCCAGCCGCCTAGTGCCTAGGCTAGACCTAGGCGGTGCTAGGCGGGGATTTTTAGAATAGTGGTTCTAATGCAGGGGCTTCTTGTTACAACTGCAATATTTAGTTTGTGTGTGTGTTCTACCTGCTTGGATCAAATTTTTTTACTTGCAGTTGTGGACTGTTGAAAGGAGCATAACATGGCTTGGATATGCTTCCAAATTGTTTTTTAAGGTAATTGCTGATACATAAAAACAAGCATTATTCTGGTAGGATGGCAACCGAGGGTCTCATGAGAATGGTAGAAAGCAGCAGGGAAATGAAGTGGCCCCCATCTAAGGATTCTGCAACATTTGGATCTCCACTGAGAAGTATGACAGCAGAGGAGTCGGGCTTCATTTCGAAGGGGCATGGCTTTAAGAGAGATAGAGCTGAACTTATACCTAATAGAAGTGGCAGTGCTCCACCAAGTATGGAAGGTTCCTTTTCCGCTATTGAAAACCTGTTATGTCAACAGAACTCCAGCATGAAAACAAGCTTGACTAATCTAAACAATGTTGTGGATAGTGTTGAGAATGAAGAAAATCTGAGTTCAGACCCAGCTCGTTTGGCATACTATTTATCGAATATGAACTTGAATGCAAGGCCACCTCCACCACTTATAGTAAGGGAGAATCATCACCTGGTCCGCCATAGTGGTGGTCTAGGAACCAAATGGAGATCGATTTCTTTAGATGACAGCGCCAGTGGGTCCTTACATCTTTCCCAAGGTTCTCTTTCTACTCTTCAGGAGGACCCTAATGCGAGTTCATCCAGAAAATCTCAAGATAACTTGGCAGAAGATAGTGTTGCAGTAATGCCTGTCAAGGACACGGCTTCTTTGGCAAGTTATAATAAGAGTTTAGTGGATCTCATACAGGTAGGAGTTAAAGTAAGTGGTTTAGTACGTATAAATTTTATTAAAAAATTAATGTCTTACTTATGCTAAACCATGTTTAACTCCTCTTTTGTTTATTTTAATATTTGCTTCGTGCATTTAACTATAACATATGACTACTACATTTGGAATCATGGATTCATGATTAACCATGCAGTTCAGAATTTCTTAGCTCCTTTGGCCAGCAAGTGGTTTACGAGTTTTTCATTTAATGTAGCAGCTATAATTTTCCAGTTTGTGTTGCCGTGTATTTATAAGTTTTATTTTCTTGGTGGTTTGTTTTAGCAAGACTTCCCCCGGACTCCATCTCCTGTATATAATCACTCTCTCTCATCAAGTCTTGGAACAACAGATGAACTAATTGATAGTGATGCACATTCGCTTTCACCAAATGCTTCTTCTCTCGACAAGTCAAAATTACCAGAACCAAATTCAAACTCTATCAATGATTGTCCAGATACAAGTGCCTCGTACACGCTTGCTCTTGGGATCATACCAAATGATGTTCCTTTGCCTACCTCCTCCCCAAGTGCTCAACAATGTCAACCTGATGATGGTACAGGGAACCTACAGAAAGATGAATCTAATATTGGGCATGATGGGTCGAGGAACAATGCATCGATTAATGGTGACCTAGGGTTGGATATTTCCAGTGCGAGAGCATCTAAAGTTGACACCAACAATAACAAGCAACAAGAACTATCTTATGGGAGGTATGTACCACAACACAATTTGTCTACACAACAAGGTGTTCCATATCAACTACAGGGGTTCCAGGCACAATTAGTTTCCCAAGGAATGAATTATTTGCAAAGTGGAATGCAAAATCTTCCCTATAGCTACCCAAAATTCTCTTCTATTGAGACACAACCATCATTGCACTCACCTGGAGTCACACCTGCCTTGTATAGTACACCAACACCATATATGACTTCAGGGAGTCCATTCTACCCGAATTATCAATCATCTGGTGTATTTCCTCCACAATATAGTATGGGCGGATATACTTTAGGTTCTACTTTTCTTCCTTCATATATGCCTGGGTACACTTCTCATGGTTCCTTTTCAATGCCTTTTGATGCTTCTTTGGGGCCAAGATTTAGTGGTCAAACTGTTGATGTTTCAAGAGGGGAGAGAATTCCCCATGAAGGTGATATGCAACACCATAGTAGATTCTATGGGCAACATGGGCCAATGCTCCAGCCACCTTTTGTGGATCCCCTTTATACGCAGTACTATGCTCGTTCTTTGGAGGATTCATATGGTGCTTCAATTCAATATGGTTACTTGTCATCAAGGGGTCAACTTTCGCAACAAGAATTAAATGCTAATGCTTATACGGATGGCCCAAAATTCCACTCTTCAACTAATGGTAATCAGGGTATTCCAAGTCCAAGAAATTTGGGAATCAATGGTAGTGGTTATTACGGACTTCCTTCTGGCATGGGTGTAATGACACAGTTTCCTGCCTCACCTCTTGGTAGTCCAATATTGCCATCATCTCCAATGGGCAGAACGAATCATTTTGGTCGGAAATATGAATTGAGGACTCCTCAAGGTTCTGTTAGTGGAGTATATTCTGGGTGGCAAGGGCTGAGAAACTCCATCTTGGATGATCCTAGAAGACATTCTTTACTTGAAGAACTGAAATCTAGTAATCCTCATAAATTTGAACTTTCCGATATAGCTGAGCGCATTGTTGATTTCAGGTATTGCTTGCTCCATGTTTGTTTTTCCTTTACTTGTACATAACGTGATCATGGTTATAATATTAGTTATAATTTTTTAATATTCATATATAACTTCAGTGTCGATCAACATGGGAGTCGATTTATTCAACAGAAGCTAGAATACAGCAGTGCTGAAGACAAGGTATCTGTTTTCAAAGAGATTCTTCCAAATGCTTCAAAATTAATGACGGATGTATTTGGAAATTATGTTATTCAAAAGGTATGATTTCATAATTTGTGTCTGCTTAATTGCATTTTTGTTGCATCACCTATCATCTTTATGGACTTGTGAATTCTGTGGATGGCCTATTAAAATTGTATGATTCTTGTATTTTTATGTTACAGTTTTTTGAATATGGGACTCCTGAGCAGAAAAAGGAGCTTGCAGATCAACTTGCTGGGCAAATGTTGCCTTTAAGTTTGCAGATGTATGGTTGTCGTGTAATCCAGAAGGTATGCTAAAACTTGATGTTTTCAAAATAAACATGTTGTTATAAGTCCAATGAGCAGGCTATTTTCTGCTTATGAGATTTTTACCAAGGGATGTGTTATTTATAGAAAGTTTTATACTGCAAGTGTTGATGGGGTTGGTTGGAAAGAAGCACGGAAGATAAACTTCAGGAGTTATTTCAAAAACCCTTTGCTGTGTAACAATGAGTACTCTATACGGATTTGGAGGGAACATCTCTTTATGAGTCTGGGAAAAGTTGTCCTAATGCTTTATATTATCAGAATCTTTTCTTCTTACGTCTGTGCTGAATGTTTCTTTTAGGCTCTCGAAGTTATTGAGCTTGACCAGAAAATACAACTTGTGCATGAGCTTGATGGACATGTTATGATATGTGTACGAGATCAAAATGGAAATCATGTAATACAGAAGTGTATAGAATGCATTCCCACAGAGAAAATTGGATTTATCATTTCTGCTTTTCAAGGACAAGTTGCCACACTTTCTACTCATCCCTATGGCTGTCGTGTCATACAGGTATTGCACAAAGTATTCAATTATGAAGTCTCCAATTAGATTTGTGGATCAGATTTTGAAACATTACACTATAACTTGCTAGAGAGTTTTGGAGCATTGTTCGGATGACCTTCAAAGTCAATGTATAGTTGATGAGATCTTGGAATCTGCTTATGATCTTGCTCAAGATCAGTATGGCAATTATGTTACCCAGGTTGGTTTCTACTTTGTACTTGTGCTGTCTGTTGATTCTTTATTTAGAACACAGTAAATATTTAATTCGGCAGTTCTTTTGTTTGCTAAGAGGAGGTTCCACAAATACCCTGAACCCTAATTTGATTGTCTTTCCTGTTAAGTATTATTCTTAATTTTCTGTATGTTCTCTTAGCACTTGGAAAGTGACTTCACTGCTCTAGAATTCTGAAAATGCTGCCAGGTGGTAAAATTCTTGAACAGTATCACACAGCCGAAATGGTTTTTCTTGATTGAAATAACTCTTGGAACAATATCGCAATTATACATTTCTTTCAAATGTCGGCAATGGTTATAGGTGATGGTTCCTTTAGTTTCTAATTTACGTTTTTCTTCTTCATGTGTCCTTACATTGCCTATGTTTCTATTATTTCTAATTGAATGTAATATAAAGATGGAACAATATACTGCTTGCAGCATGTTCTGGAACGGGGAAAGCCCAACGAAAGAAGCCAAATTATCAGCAAGTTGGTTGGGAAGATTGTACAATTGAGTCAGCATAAATATGCATCAAATGTTGTTGAGAAGGGTCTGGAGTATGGTGATACTGCTGAGCGGGAGCTCTTGATTGAGGAAATCATTGGACAAATGGAAGAAAACGATAGCCTATTGGTAAGTGAAGCAAAAACTAATATGATAGGCTATCCCATGTATTAAGGTTTTTTGTTCTCCATAAATTTTAATTGCCCATCAACATTAGATATATGTTTGATAGGAAGGTTTGGCTCAAAGGGAGCATAATTATTATGGTTAGAAACCTGAGCCAATTAGGAAACATCTGGTTGTGCATTTCGACATTTAGTTAGAAATATCAAATTTTATTTACAAGTCGACCTGAAGCATTAATTTCCATGTGAGTAGATTTCATTTGGTTCCAAAAAGTTTTCAAACACACTCTGGTATTTTAATAGCATGAGTATTGTGGATTCTGCTTGACTCTTGGGGACCATCCGGAGTTTGAAAGTGTAGATATTGAATGCTGCATAATGCTGGTTTTATGTTTTCTGTATATTGAGATTCGTCGTTTGTTTTTTATATTCCAGGCAATGATGAAGGACCAATTTGCCAATTATGTGGTTCAGAAGGTTCTTGAAACAAGCAATGGTAGACAGCGGGAAATACTGCTCAAACTTATAAGAGTTCATATTGATGCTCTGAAGAAATATACTTATGGGAAACACATAGTTGTTCGTTTTCAACAGCTATCCGGTGAAGGTTTGTCAATTTCCCGTTTGTGATTTGTGCACATGATTATGAGCATTGATTATTTGTTTCCCATTTTATATGCATCTCATAGAAGACTGGTTGTCTCTAATATGGCTTCTTAATCTAGCATTGTCTGTTGGAAAAATGATCTCAGGCTGTGCAATTGTTACACGAGCTTAATGGATTTATGTGTATTTTTTAGTTTATACTGATTATCCTAGTTGGATGTTAAACCTTTACCCATTAATATGCAGAGGTCCAAACCTCAGAAGCTGAGGGGGTATAGAAAGGGAGAAGCGTTAACAGAGGATCCATTTGGCTCGCTGGGCCCTCCAGTTTTCCGATCCCCCCATTTGGCTTGAAGGTTTTGCTTGAGGAGTGCGGCAGTTAACAGAAGGCAGAAGCGTTACCTATTCTTTTCAAGAACGGCACATTTTACAAGAAATTCCAATGATACAGAAACAACGGTGGCGTTGATTGATGAAAACTCAATGCCGATGCACCAAACTGATGGTCTTTAAGTCTCCTAGTTTTTGTTATTGTTGAAAAGTTTATAAAATGTGCGATTCTTGAAAGAGGGGTAGACGTTTGCTAGTTTTATAGGACAACTACCGCGTCTTCGTTGCTAGAAGAAGAGCCGGATGATTGGAGCTGCCGTGATGTATTTTCTGATTGTTCATTTATGTATATTCGGGTAAACATATATGTAAAGCAATGTAAGGATCCATGCAGGGCTGAAGGCCGGCGTAGATATTACGTTATAGTTATGGCTTAGTCATCGTGTATGAATTTGGGACGATAACAAAACTGCGTTGATAATATGATGTAAAAAGTTATATCTGCAGGGTATGTTTCATTATGCAAATTATGTTTGTGGTTTTGTGTTTCTCAAAACACTGGTGCCTCCAAACCCAACTTTCTCGCCAGTTCCGCCGCCTCCCTTGCCGGCAGTGGCGGACCATAGAAGGGACCGGCGTTGGCCGTGTCCCCAGAAATTCTTTTGAGTTGGTGGTCTAGTTATATAAGCCAATCCAGAAGAAGTTTACAAACGTGGCACCTCCAGAAGTTCAAGTAGTTTTAAAATGTTAGTTTTCTTTCCAAATGTTTGCTAGTATGACAAAATTAACACCCGACTGCACAACTTTAAAAGAACAAATATGCATTTTGTCTATGAATTTATATTGTTAATTTAGAATTTTTTTTGTTTTTTTTATAGATGAGATTTAATATTGTAGAAAATTTTCATTTCTATGTTTACCATGTACATTCACAACCTAGCTACTATCTGAACAAAAATAGTTTTCAATTTTTGTTTGGATTTCTCTTTCACATGTAATTTATTTTTTTATTTTAAAAAAAATGATCAGTTTGTGACTTTGACACGCCAGTCCATCCTTCTTTTTGCAAGAATTATGTAACTTTGATTTGATTCTTTTAGAATCTATGTTAAGGACAACAATATATACACTAAAGGGATGAGGAGTTGGGCTAAGCCACACAATGGACAACTTAATTTAGTATTGAATTCGTTATCCACAATATTCGAACCAGATTGTAGTCCTGAGTGGCTAGTTTTTTCAATTTTAATTTGCTAATTTGACTTGGAATGAGGTATTCGGGTAAGTTGGTTAAGATGGGTCAGATGGCGTAAGATCTACGTTTCAAATTTACGAAAATATTTGTTGTATTAAGATATTTTCTTTTGGTTGCATTAATTGGAGCGTAAGAACACCGCGAAGAAAATATGACCGTTGGAGCCACCATTCCCTCCACGCGCTTTCTTATATAAACCCCAATCCCTGAATTCCAAGTCCCACTAGGAAATCCAAACTCTACTTCCCCCCAAATCCTCCTTACACAGTAGCGAATAGCGACCGACCTTCAATCCAGCCAAACCCTAGAATTCTTGATTTCAATCGCGATTCTTTCGTCTTCGTCTTCTGCGTCGATCACTGACGCCGCCGACTTCACTCCTCCGCCGCCAACCAGTTCAGTCTCTCTGTTTCTTCTCTGATTGCTCTGATTCTCTTCTTACCCATTCCATCGGTGCCTCTTTTGATCATTTTTTTCTGAACCCAGAAAACAATGGGTTCGATGAAGAGGAAGAGACCGGACGAACCAGAGAAGAGCTTTTTCCGTTCGAAATTCGAGTGGGTTCGAGGGCCGATGCTCGGGAGTGGGGGATTCGGGTCGGTTTATCTGGCGACCGTGAAAAAGTCCAAGTTGGGTTGCGAGGGTTTCCCGACGGTGATGGCGGTGAAAACCTTCTCCAAGTCGAGTGAGCTCGCGACGGAAAGTTCGTATCTGACCCTGTTTCGGGACTGCCCTTTTATTATCGGAAGCTATGGAACAAATCTGACCATTGGGGACGATGGTTACTTGAAGTGTAATGTGTTTTTGGAGTATGCCGATGGAGGAACAATTGGGGATTTGATCGAGAAATCGGGCGGCTCAGGGTTGTGTGAATCGGATGTGAGCAAGTATACCAAAGCGATTCTGAAAGGGCTTGAGTACATTCATGAAAGGGGTTATGTGCATTGTGATTTGAAGCCGGATAACATATTGCTTGTGAGATCTGATTCTGGTTTTGTGCCGAAAATTGGGGACTTCGGGTTGGCAAAGATGGCGATGCAGAAGCTGTCACGCCAAGGCACATCAATGTATTTTTCTCCCGAAACTGTGACTCACAAAATTCAGGAGCAGCCTTCCGATATTTGGGCAGTAGGTTGCATTGTACTCGGGATGTTAACGGGGAGACAGCCATGGGAAGCGAAGGGAGGCGCTGACCTAAGGCCTCTTATTGCTTCAAAACTTCCCAATGTTCCCGGCTGGTTATCAGAAGATGCTAAAGACTTTTTGCGAAAATGCCTACTGAGGGACCCTTTCAAGAGATCCACAGTTGCTGAGCTATTGACGCACTCGTTCGTGACAAAACCGGACAGGGTTGGAGAGGTTGAACCAGTAAAGGAGGTTGCTTCAGTGTCATCTCCGGAGCAAGGCGATTATGGAAGCTTTATACCCCTCGGAAGCTGGAGTTCTGAAGAGGCAGTAGATTTTGGGCCAATTCCTCCTGTGGCAGTCTTGAACCCTAGACCGGTTATTCCAAGCACGGCTTGCCAAGGGGCATCAAATTTTGCTGTAATGGGTGCAGCTTAGCTTTAATTGTTTCCATACCTGTTGACGAAGTCAGGGATGTGTACAGTGCAGCCATCTTCCGAAGGAGGTTGAGCTTGAGGAGGAAGTCCACTCAAAATCCGAGCTCAAGTTCGGTTCCCTGACCTCACACAACCTATCTGATTAGGTCCCCAAACATTTACTACATTTAAGGCGCCGATTCTTCATCTGGCACTCATGAGCCCAAGACCTGTTCTGCTGTTCATGGATTGGTGTAATACTTCATTATTCCACATCTGTAATTGTAAATTTTGACATGTAATATCTTCTTGGCGGCTGTATCGATTTCACTTTATATATATGGAATAAAAGTTCCACTTTGATCCATCTATCTATGTTTCCTTTATTAGTTTTTAAGTTGCAGTTCTCAAGCTCATTCAACAGTTAAAGCTTTATGCCTTTTTCGAAAGTGGTCAAAATATAAGTTGTTCAAAAGTTGTAAAGCTCATCGAGCTTCTCCGATCCTTGCCCTTTTTCAATTTTTACGACTCAATGATTCAATACTGTGTTAAGTAAAGGCACAAGGTTGTAGCAAAAACCAGCATTTATTCAGCAATAGGGTCATGTAATCAACAATTTGTACGGTATCACTCTCGGCAGCATCTTCCTCGGTTAGATCAGTTGTTCTCCTCAGAAATCGAGACAAACATGCACTGATTGACTCACTATTCTCCGCAACCATATAAAGGCAAAACAAGCATAGTCCTGTTTCAGGTGCAAACTGATTCTTGTCAATTTTACGTATGTGCGATGTTCAAAACAAAGATCAGGCTAGGCCAAGAAAAAAGAGATTATACTAAATCATCAATACATGTCACCCTGAGCCAAAAGACCAAACTACTTTAAATCATTTCAGCTACGGAGAGGTAGGTAACAGATTTAAGAAACCAACGTACCAATATAGGCAACTGTAAGACCTGAAATCAACCGTCCCAAAGCCGAAAGCATGTAGAGACTAAACACTACCTGGAGAAAGATTTACGTTACATCTGTTAGCTGTGCGCAACCATCCCAACAAAAAGGAAAAACAAAAAAGATCAATTTGATGGACTAGCAGAGGCAAAAATTGTTCTTCAAGCAGAATGCTTTTATTAGAGCAAAGAACCTGCCACCGCAAGCTGCCTTACTTAGGTTTAAGGTTCCACAAATAGATTGATATCTTGAAAAAATATAATGAGGGCGACATGTACTCTGTGAAAAACTTTGTTCTCTTGTGTACTTCTATTAAAATTACATTTCAGCTTCCACTTTGTTCTTAGAATATAATTTATAGTAAAACAAAGGTACATTATAAATTGTGCTCCCAGTGGTGTGAGATTCGTCATCAACATAAACATCGAAGTCTTCCCAATGAGAAACGCACATGTGCAGATAAACAAAATGCATATGCAGTTATATGCCAAAAGAAATCAAAATTCTGACAATTTCCGAGTTGTTAATACAGGTATTTAACACCTCTCCCTTGATACTTAAAGCAAGCGGCACTATATCTAAATGTAAGCTTTTGAAATTTATCATCCATACCAGCTAAGTTCTAGAAACTCTGCAACACCTCATATCAAAACAAAAATCCTTTTTAGGCATCAAGCATTCTTACCTTGAAAAACAACCTCTTGTCATGCCCTGTGGCCGCAACCCTCAATACAGACTCAGCTGCTCCTACGGTATTGGCTAACCACGCAACAATGCTATTAGCAGTGTCCTGTGAAATCTGCCACTCAAGTGGATCCACTGGTACCCTAATCAACAATAAAATTAGATATTTGAACACAAAGATTACCATTCACCGCTACAATATTATCAAGTACGTAAAATCATTATTTGACATTAAAGCCTCTTATGAAATGGTACTGTTGACATGTTTTTCATTTGAAACTGACAGCATTTCATTTCAAAGAAATCACAATTTTTCAGTTCATCTATCATGGTACTAAGTACTAACTCTGGTACTTCTTCAATGCCCCATAACCTATTAAATTTCCAAATGCATCCACTAAATACAACCCTAGAGTGTAGAAGAGCATCACAATCCAAACAAAACCCAAATTTCTATCAGTATTTGTACTCAAACCGAATTAAGTACAAAAAAAATTTGCATTCACATTGGACCATTACCAGATAAAACCTGGTCTTATCAGCCAACAACCCAATAACAAGACCATAGAATCCCTAATTCCTCAAAAGTCAAAACCCAGAAAAACAAACCACTCTCCTGAATTTTCAGGGGAGGCAGAGGGGAAGGGGAAAAATGGGAAATGTGGGAGGACTTACGAGACGTTCATTTGGCGAAAGAGGAGGCCGAGAATGGCGAGTGAGCAAAGGAGGACGATGAAGACGTCGGAGACGAGAGAGAGGAGGCTGGAGTTGCGGTGGGCGCAGTGGTAATAGACTAAGCTTCCGCATATTAGCACTACCACCGGCTTCCCTACTTCCGATCGGTAATCCACCATTTCCACCATTTCCTTCATTTCTTCATCTCTTCATCTGGTTGTGTTTCTTTCACTCTGTTTTTCCTTCTTCTTGCCAATTTTTTATTTATTTTATTTATTGTATATTTGTAAAATAGATGTTCTTTATTTTAATTTTTGAGGGTTTTTTTTTTTTTTTTTTTGAACAAATTGCAACAATTATGATTGATTATTGAGTTTGTTTCCACAAACCAAAGAAAAAGCATTTGACTAAGAAAAAACAATGCAAACGAAAACAAAATTATATTTTAATAATGGTTATACACCGTTGGCTTCTAAACTTTTATACCAATTAAAAGCATATTTTTTTTATAATAAATGATAAGATAATGCACGCTAATTCAACTAAAATATGGGAGAGGAAAAAATTTCAATCCGGAATAAGTTATAACATATTTATTCTTTTTGTTAATTCCATCCATTTTCTGTTAAATTTTCGGAAAAAAACAATTTTGAGACAAATAATAATTTCTGATCCAAAAACTTTTATTAACACAAACAAGAATAAAACAGAATTTTGATCAACTAGAGGCCGGAATCAAAAGTTTTCCATATATAAATAAGCTTCTTCTCAAAGCTCCTACCTAGGGGTGACTTTGGATATCCCCTCAATTTCTTTTCAATTTTATTTTATTGTCTTACATAATTTTTAGAGTTATAATGGTGGTTGTCATCGTGAGAAGATATTAAAATTGAGACATATGTACAAGAAGATATCAACTAAAAGTTCATGACCCTTGGTACAAAAATATGTAGCTATGATCATTTTCGTCAATTTCGTCACAATCTATCAAAATGTCATGTTCAAAGGGTCATTGCTATAATTGGATTAAAGTTGAAGGATCATTACTTCAATTGAGTTAAAGTTGATAAACCATTTCTCAAATTCGGTTGAAGTTGAGAAAGTATTACTGCAATTTTTCTCATTTGGTTTTCCATTTTTGCCCATTAGCTTCACATGCATAGCATGTGACATATTTTGACAAAATTTCTAACGGAGTTGATGAAAATGACCATAATTGCACATTTTGATAAGTTAAGAGACCAATGGTCACAAATTTTTAATTGAATGACCATTGCTACAATTTCCAGGTAAAAAATCATTGAGGAATTGAGCGAAATTTGAACTTATACGGCAAAAAAAGTATATTGATAAAAAGACACTATGTTGTAATGGTACAGCACATTCATCGGTACTTCATATTCCTTGCAAGGCACATAACTGAAGCTCAACCGACCGTTTGGTTAAAAACACAACCGGAAACCAGCCCCAACCGAAAACCGAAAACCGAAAAAAGAAGAACAAGAAAGTAAAACTCTCAACGGATGCAAGATCAACCAAACTAGCCTAGGCCTGTGTAAAACAACCTAGACGTAACTTCAACGAATTAGTCGACACCTCCCGCCTGGTAATTTACACCAGCAGAGATCCCAATGTGAGTTTAAACTATGATCCTATGTGAAACCTTGCTTGAGCTTGTTACAGCTTATAAGGTATGTCTCTGAACAAGCAATATGTCCTTCCAAGCTTCATAAAACATCCAGGTGATGCCGGAGGATGGCATGACCTTCAAGCAGCTTGCACCCCACCCTCTGTAAAGTCCCCGCAAACCTTCTTCCTGGATGACTTCTGAAAGTGCCACTAACATGTGCGGTGGGCACTTGCCTTTCAAAGCTCCAACCATCAGCCGTTTCCTGGCCACCTCCAATGGAAAGCTGATTGTGCTAGCCGTAAAACCTAGACATGTTTGAGTAAGCTATTAGATAATCAAGTGGTCAGGATATGATACCATAAATTATTCATCCAATCATTCAGCAAAAGAGCGCCGAAGTTTCAAAGTTCTGCATACAAGTTGCAAAATTGACAAATAATTTTACTCTGTTTACTTCCCTAATTATGCAGTTCATTCATATTTCTTGTGTCCAAGAGGTGGAAGACCTGAGACTATCAGAATAAAGTCGGTGAAATACAACTTCATTGTCCAATAATCGATAAGTAGCCCAAACAAATCAACATAGCTCTTCTATACTTCTAATTAGTAATTTACACAAAAATTACGTAAATTGTTGCATGACACTGACAATAACAAAAGCTTTTTCCACAGGATGCATGTTTTACTAAACTGATGAACAAAAGGTTATATGCCGTCGGTAGGCAAAATACTAAAATAGAAAGCAAAAAGGAAATGCTTCAATAATCTTCACGACTTGAGACATATTATTCTTTAAAAAATGGACTATGACATAAGAGTTAGGATCCACAATGTCCAAAAACTAATCAAAATCGAAACAAGATTTGAAAGGGAAAAGAAAAAGAAAGGTAAACGGTTTGCACTATCTTTTCAATTTGATTTACGTAACCCAGGCCAAGTTTCTGACCTGCAAGAGCTCCGACCAGTAGCATCTCAGGACGGTTAAGAGACTCTTTATTCTTTGCTCGGCAGTGGGATTTCTTCAATTTCTCATACATGAAATAGTAACATGTACTGTAAGGAAGCATCCCAATAAGTGTAGGTGAAAGACCAGAATAGCATGCAGCAATCCCACCCTCCTTATAAATCTTGCTGATTGCAATGCTTAAACTGGGATACGCCTCAGGAGACACAGTCAGCCGATCCTATTGTAAGAAATTAGAAGAAAGAAACAATAAATAGTTAAATACCAAGAAAAAGTGTCAAACATTAGCAGTTCCTAATTGAAACATCGTACAGTGAAATCATACAGAGATGCAATCCAAGAGGATATAAAACGCAGAATATATTTCCACGTGAACACACGAAAACCACACATATAAATGAAACACGGAAGATGAGATAGATAACATAGTCATCAGAAATGATATAACGTAGAGCAGGCTAGAC